GGCAGCCTTCGCTGCCTTTTACGGCTCTTTAAATATCTTTCGCCGCTAATGGGAAGGCAGCTGCTGTCAGCCGCCTAATGCCGGGCTGGTGGCAGGCACCGCGCATTGTCTGCTGTCTGACCAGGCATGCTATTTATTGGGGTCTAAGGAGGGGATCTGTCTGTCTTCCCTTCCCGGGCACGCACTTGTAACGTTTAAAGGCTAAAGATGCGGAGATCTGACAGCGCGGGAGCTGCGGGAGGGTAAAACCCTTAGACAGCCCCTCTCCCAAATTCCCAGCTCCGTGACTCACCTGCTTTCAAATCCTGCCTTGTGCCTTAGACTGTGATAAAAGAATGACAACAACAACAAAACCCGCATGAAAGAAAATCTTCCAGCACCCTCCCACCCTGAACCAGAACATTAAAAATCTTAATACCCGCTCTTTCTGAACCTTAAAACTGCACCCGTGATAGAGCTAGGAAGGCTCACTGAAAGAAGACTTGTTAAACCTTTTTTTAAAGAAGGAATATCCACTATAGTGAAAAGTGAACCAGCACCCGGCACTGATCCATCCCAGGGATAGCTCTGTTAACACCTTGTCCATGAGCAGGCCACTCTGCCTGCAGTCACGGCTTACCCCAAATGAAAGCCAATTAAAAGAACAGGGCAGTGAACAGAGTCGTTTTGTTGCTCAGCGAGGGTGTCCATTTTATAACAATATATATTTTTTAAAACTTTAAGCTGGTCCACGCCCCGTTTTCACAGAGCCGTAAGTATAGTCATTTAGAAATGGATGCTGTTCAAGTACAGCCCCCTGGTGCACAGGCACAGCTGTGAGGGGTGGCAGGATGAAATAATACGGACACAAATATTGCTACAAGGGCTCTGAGATGAACACAGCTGCTGCTGTGGATGGAAATAAGCTATACCCCATAAGCACCTTTACACATGTACAAGGGGCTGTACTGGATTTTAAACAGATAGAGGCAAAGGAGGAGTGAAATTGTTACCTATAAACCAGCCTTTGCTGAACAGTTCCCAAGTGAGAAATGTTCCCAGTGTAATCACAGTGGGTCTAGTTCAGCAATCCGTAAGCAGGGGAGTCCACAGGAATTTTGTAAGAATAAGGTCTTTTGTAACAGGCTCCAGTTTCTCCCAGAGAGTAAAAATTTTCTATCCGCTTGGAAACAAAATAAAGCACTTTAAATCCCCCCCCCCCCTTTTTTTCTCTACTTACAGGAAAAGAACAACCCCCTCCCAAACCCATTTACAGACCCATTTGCTCCTGCTCCTCACTCTGGTTAGTGCCTTTTTTGGGAACACAAACACTATTTATTTTGGGGTAGATTGCCAGCAATTTTTACCTCCTCAGAAGAAATGCTACCCCAAATCAGCGCAGCTGGAAGAATGCACTGCCCTTGCTAGCCCGGGAGCAGAGAGATGCAGCGGGACCAGCCACAGGTATCCGCACACCTCGTGTGAGGAAGGGCTGGCAGACCCAGCTTTGGCTTTTAATGTGCCTTTCAAAGGGCTTGATTGATTGCTGTTAATCCTGTGAACAACTTCGGTGTTGTTAACAGGACTGCCCGCATTAGTAAAGGTACTTGAATGCATTAGTATGCTCCTCGTCCCCATGACGTCAATAGACAGCTTTCCAATGACTTCCAGGAGGGCTGGATCAGGCCCTTGCTAGCAGCAAGTTTTTAATGAACACCGTTTGGTGCGGGGAAGGGGGGCATGGTGATACATCAGTCCTGACTACCTTCGTTCTCCAGGAAACGAGCAAGTAAAGAAGAAAGGCAGGAATAGGCCGAAAGGTTGCTGGAGGGGGATTCTTCTGCTGAACTTCAAAACCCTAGACCCATAGCACACAGAACCATCATTTGCTGAATGATATAAAATAAATCGCAGGCAAGTTTTGTTGCAAATAATTAAACAATATGTGTGAATTTTGTTTTTAAATAGTGATTTATCCTTCTTTAGGTCTAGGTAGCTATATCAGCCCATATACTCCCAGATTCTCTGCTAGCTTGTTTTATTGAGATTTTTCCAAACAAAGCATGAGACCGTTAATAGCAAAGATGCACATTCTGATCACAATTCGAAGATACAGCTCTCAGCTACTATTAAAGGGCCCGATCCTGCCAAGTCTTCTAACTCAGCTGGGATTGTTTACTTCAGCTTGTTAGGCTTTCTAGGGAGCGCTGACAGGATCAGGGCCTATTAGCTACATAATCAAATAAAACAATCGAGAGCTGCATGTGGGCCTCTAACACATCTAGCAAAAGGAGAGGAACCGTCATCCGCTAAATTTTGGGTGAGAACCCAAGCATCGGGGGGGTGGGCCCGATCCTGAAAGCCTTAATCTGCATTGTTGTTAATCAGTCTGCTGTGGTCAGAGGGATTATTCATCTGAGGAAGGATTACTCATGTGAACATTTGCAAGATTGGTCCCTGAATTAATGCGTGAATCAGTGTGGGTTGGTTTTTTTTCCTTCCCTTTTTTTTTTTTTTTTTCTCTCTGCCTTAGAATCAAGAAGGTTGATTGAGGAGAGAAATGAAAAACTATTTGCATCCAAAGGAGCTTAGTACAGGATTGTAGTCAATGTAGGCAACAAAAGGTATCACTGTAATAAAAAGGGAGCTTTGTTTATAGAGGCCTTTTGTTATTAAAGTAGCACTGGTGAGTTTCAGGTGGTAAAATGAAGGCTGCATAGAAA